TACGTCATTTACGTCATTTACATTGGACCCTAACTTTGACATCTGATATTGAACTTGTCACAAACCTAACTGAACACTGTTGCTCCTGACTGTATCCTTCCCCTGAAAATCTTACCTGTCACCCTGAACTTTCCTGTTTCTGAATAGAAGCATGACCATCATACCCATCACCCACATGGACACATCCTACACATCCTTCACAGTAGACTTCATACCCTAAATCTTTCCTCAGGTCTTCCTCTAAAAATCCTAGTGTAAATTCCCCATCATGAGTCATGACTATCACATATTTCAACAACAGGGATCATGCACACATTAAACACTGGAAATTCCACAGTCTTCAGCACTGAAATAGAACCACATTCAGAGAAAACTGGAATATAAAATATGTTAAAAGAAGTGAGTGAGCAATATTTCGATTGTCAAGTGAAGAGATAATGATTTATTTTATTTACTCGTTTTTTCTCTGGGTATGTCTTACCTTCCAAAAAAGAATCTAAGGTTGGGAGAAAAGAAATCAGCTTACATAAGCTGCACATTCAAATGGCCTGAACACAGGTTAATTATATTAAGAATATTTCTGCATATCTCTGGGGGAAAATATCTTTTAAACGACTCTGAAATGAAAAAGGAGAGGGCAGGAATACTTTGCTCTTTAGACATACTATCACACAGATAAGTCACTTACAAGGAAGTACTTTTGAACATAAGAACTGCATGATGGCAAAGAGTACTTTGGTCTCACTTTGTCATTTGACACATGTTTTCTCAGGAGAGGATTTTTCTTCTGTGTTGCTTTTACTGCATTCTGAATACTGGTGATGAATCTTAGTATGAGTGAGTATTTAGAATCATAAATTTTCCAGACTTAATCTCTAATCCATCTCCCGAAAAGTCACTGATATGGTACATACTCTCAGTCATGTTCACAGAAAAACAAAGGACAAATAAAAATTCTAATAATTTGGATTTGGGTTGTCTGCAATCCTTGTGAGTGACTGACAGTCACCCATCTAACTTTGAAGTGTCTCTATTATTTTAGCAAGACAGAACCTTTCATCTACTTACTGCAAATGTCACAGCATGGAAGGGTAA